CTTCTCTCTCCTCCCTTCCTTCGTCTCTCTCTTCCTTCCTCCTCCTCTCTCTCTCTCTCTCTCTCTCTCCCCAATGACCTTCTTTAAGAGAAAAAAGCGCACCACGCAAAATGGCCGATTTTACTGATTAAATTCAATTCAAAAATCATTAAAAAGTACATCAACATGATTTAAAAAAAGAAAAATATTTGCTATTATCATTAAATGAAGTCTTTTTTCCAATAATTCATTAAACTTTATGATGACCTTACAATGATCTTTGGTCAATTTTTAAGCAAAGAAATTTAATAACACCATTCATTCACAATTCTATTAATTTCAAATCTCTCACAGTTTACCTTTATAACTGGAAGATTTCAAATAGTTCAAAGGTCATACAGTAAGGAACCAGTTATATTAGGCGAAGTGAATGAATGGAGGAATTGTGGGACAAGAAGTATTCAAATTATTCTCAAAGTTTACTTAAATGAAGAATATATGCTTCAAAATGTGCCATTTTCAGTAAGTTGAACTGGCGCTTGAAGCTGGGATGAACCAAACATTGAGTAAAAATCAAAAAGTTGAATCAAAACCTAAATAAACGCTGATTAATTAAATGCTTAAGTCATATTCATTTTTTAAAATAACCTGAAATTTAATCCGGAATTCGGCAGGATTGTCTCCGGAGGGAATTAATCTTACCATCTAAATTATGGAATTTCGATCATTTTTTCTTTTTGTTGAAATATTGAAAATGAAATTTATTTTCAAAAGTAAATAAAGATTCCGTCTTAATATTGAACAAACAAACCGCCGCTCAGCAATAATGTGAAAAAATGACAAACAAAATTTATTTCATGAATTCTGCTAGAAACTTTGTTACGTGTAAAAGTTACGTGTTAATGTCAACGCACACACGTGATAGACATGGGACATTTTGAGGAAAAGAGATAAGAGGTAATGCAATTTTTACATACATCTTGAAATAAGCAGAGAAGATATTTAAATTAGCGGGTAACTATGACTAATTCCTTCGTTAAGAGCTAATGGAAAGTAGCCATTTCAATGGGATAACTCCTTAAGAATCTAATAAAAAGTAGCCATTTAAATGAGATACTTCCTCTTTAAGAATCTAAGAAAAAGTAGCCAAACCAATGAGTTATTTCTTAATAGCTAAAGAAAAGTAGTTAAGAGTTTAAGAAAAAGTAGCCATAGGGTAGTATAAAGTGGACAGCCATAAATGTGACAATAAAAATGATTGTATGAAATTTAAGAATATTTATTAGAAGATAGCAAGAAGCAGAAATTTATGACATAGATGTTCAAACACGTTATTATTCCCCGATAAAAACGTTGCATTTCTCATTACTATGGGAGAAAGCGGGGAGACGGGGTGGGGGCGGGGGAGAACGGGAGGGAATTGATATCTTCAAATATTTCATGAATTTTCATAGAATCGTCAAATTATGCATCACTTTTTCAAATCCTATTTTCAGAATGGATACAGAAAAACGAATACCATTCCGTTACGTTCCGTTCTGTCCCGTTCCGTACATCATGAACAAACAATAACAAAGACTTTTCCGTTATGTGATACAATGTATCGGTCATTGATCATGGAATCCATATAATGCAGAGATACGGTGCTAAATTTTCCTTCACAAAAGAAGCTTACAGTATAAAATTAAATCATTGCTTGCTTACTTCAAGTAACCGATGGTAATTTCAATTTCCGGATTTTTACCAAAGAATTACGGTATCGTTGTTGAACTTATTAAAAGCTTTTCACATATAAATCCAAACATGAGTTTAATAAGCAAAGAGAGAGAGAGAGAGAGAGAGAGAGAGAGAGAGAGATCGTACTAAACATTATTTTTTAGTTAAAGAATAGACGAATACGAGAGAT